AAAAAAAAAAAAAAAAAAAAAAAAAAAAAAAAAAAAAAAAAAAAAATCTTCCTGACGTCACTCCTTGCATCAATATTATTGAAGAATTCCCCCAAAAATATATGGAATTCACAAGATAATTCGTCACTTTACGGTCGCAGTAAAACTTTTATTTTGCGACGGATCACGGAAAACAATGGAGTTTCCACTTGTTTGTCGTAACAACAATGAAATGTTAATACTTATGACTCTTATCGGGAGGTGGGGGGGTCTTGCAACGCACACTATGCAAACCATGTTGATCGTTGTTTGTTGATTTTATGATAAACTGGAAAGTTTTCAAGTACTCGGCGAAATAAGTAGCGATTAAAATTTAATAACTACAGATAACGTAGCGCGAGGCATCAGAAGTCATTGGCGAGCCCTTGGTGAGCCGCGATACGATTGGTAACCACTATCAGATCAGCGACGATCGACGATGGTTGCCGAAAAATTCATCAGCGAGGTTTGACCCGATCACCAACACACCGCAGGCTAAAGCCCACGGCTTTTACTAATATATATATTCGTATATCGTTTGGTTTCATGCAGGATGTTAAACGAAGTCCAATGTTCACGATCGAGAATAACGTGATAGTTGGAAACCCGTCGGCCAAGAGAGAGAACAACCCCATAGCCAAAGTCATTTTGGATTCGCTCAGGAGCTATCCGGACACAGTCGCACAAGTAATTATTCAATTATGTTGGCGATTGGCGGAATGTTGTAGTGGACATTTTATGGAAAAAAAAAAATAGTGTGCCATTAATCGAAGTTTAACAATTCATGTATGATTATACATTCTCAGATAAATACGGCGACGGGTGAAAAAATAACTTTCGGCAAGCTAAGGGATCTCAGTGTCCGTTGTGCCATTTGGTTGAAGAAACAGGGCATAGGTCAAAATGACATCGTCTGCACTTCGACGCCGAATCAAAGTTACGACTGCATCCCGTGTCTGGCGACATTGTACCTTGGAGCGGTTGTCAACCCCTGGTTCAGCGAGCTGTCTTTCGGTGAGTTTGTTTACACTTTCACACCACTAGAATTGTTTTTTTCAATTTTTCGCCAACTCCTCTGTATCTACCTTGATCGAGTTTTTACTATGTTTTTTTTTAACCCTCCATTCCCATCCTCGGTCTACCTAACGATTTTTTCGTACTCGATTTTCAGACCATGACTTTATCAGAATTTTTATTTCTGTTTATTCCCACGTTCGCTCTTATTACTTGATATAAATGTAGTTATATTTGTTAACTTGTTTAAGCCTCCCTTTTATACGAAATTCTTCGCTAATCTTGTCTTTTTTTCCTCTAAAGATTTTTAAAAATATTTTTGTGTAAGAAATTGCAAAATTTTTTTTTCATGGATTTAATGATTATCTAAGTTTTGTTTCCGTACAATAAGATTAATTGTAAATACATTTATAAAATTAAAATACATTACCACGTCAATCCCTTAAAGTAGCCTCCAATAGGAATGCAGTTACTGCGCATCATTGTTTAATAAGATAAGAGAAGGAGATTGAAAAGTTGGATACTCTATCAAAAGATAAGTGACAGATAGCTTGTGCAATACACAAGAGTAGCAAAAAAATCCATTCAATCAGTCCGGTAGTTTATTAGAAAATATTACACACGTATTTTTTTTATTCACATGAACAGAATCAAACGGAGATAGTGCATGTTACAGTTGCTGGATAAATAAAGTAACGACTGAAGGCTAAGTGCATTAATTTATATTCTTATTTTCTTATTTATTACACACGGCACAAAAAAAAAAAAAAAAAAAAATCTTCCTGACGTCACTCCTTGCATCAATATTATTGAAGAATTCCCCCAAAAATATATGGAATTCACAAGATAATTCGTCACTTTACGGTCGCAGTAAAACTTTTATTTTGCGACGGATCACGGAAAACAATGGAGTTTCCACTTGTTTGTCGTAACAACAATGAAANGACAGAAAATATTTGCATGTGTGTTTATTTTTTTGTTTTCCTCATTGAAATAAGTACTTGCAACAATTGTACAGAAGAATGAAAGAAATGAAATCTGGTGAGTACAACAACTTATTTTTACAATGTATGAATTCGAAAATTACATATATTTTCATTCTGATATTATATCTATTGCGTGCAAATTACTATGAAAATTGTATACAAGTTACTAATACAATTTACAAATAAATTAATTTAACGTGGAATAAGAGCTGTGGGCTTTAGTTACAATTTCCTACGGAAAACAGTCTAATTTATTATATAATTTTGGTTTACGTGTTAAAAAACTTACCGTCAATAACTTTATTACAATATTTAAGGTAAAATACTATTATTTTTTAAAAACTGACATTTTATTCAGATTATCTTGTGTCACAGCGAAAATGGTTCGGGCAGATATAGAGCGCGGGGCTTGTGGTTATGATTTTTGGAGTTTGAAGGATGTAATACTCAAGTGGGGAACATAAATGTAGGTCTATAGGGTTATTCATCAGGTTTGAGACTAATACACATTATAAAGGAGAACGGGGTATGCGTGTCCAGCCAGGTAAACTGGCCACCCAATATTTTTATTGATGTAATTGAAAAAAAAA